GCCCCGGGAGGCCAGCGCAGGTACGCGGGACGGCCCCGGGCGGACAAAACCTGCCATTGTCTTCCCCAAATTATTCTTGCTCCTTGTCATTTGTTTGCTTGACGCGTCCGTGGATGACAGCGCCTTCAACCAGATCCACTTAGCTGTGTCGAAATGCTGTTATTCTTAGACCGGTGTCGGGTTTATCCCCTTACGTCATGATTACTAAGGGAGTGGGGCAATGGCACGCGGTATTTCGAAAAGGCCGCTTGGCTGCAGGTAAAGATCTGCTCGCAGCACCGTACGCAACGCCGATTGCTTTAGAACGTATCCTATGTGCTCAGTGAGGCGGTATTGCTCAGCGCAGCAAGACCCGAGCCGCTTTGGTTGCATGAGCTAATAATGGATATTGCTGAAATTTACAATGAAGTATGGACATTTCGTTTGCATCGAACGGCGGTGTCAAAGGTTCTTTCGAGCACTCTGCTCAATGATTTCAGCGTAGCCGTTGATGTGAGCTCAAGTATCGTAGTACTTCGTTTTGTATTTCTGCAATCTTCACTTTATGCTGCGATACAACAGTGAAAAAAAAACCCAACCGTGAAACCATCGAAACACAAGATGAGCAATAAAAAGTGACATGTATTCCAAAAAGGAAAAGGAAAAAAAAAAAAACCAAACCAAAGAGGGAGCAGTTTACCCTGCTATGTGTAGCCATATGTATTGTATGTTAGTCCTTCTGTCCAATGGGAAGGACTGTTCCCGCAGACCCATAAATGAGCGGCACTGCTAACCCGCAAAGCTTCTCTAGTGTGTCCTGTGGAAGCATTTTACGATGGCACCAGCACCACAGACTAATACAAACAGGAGACACAAACAGGAACTTTCCTGCCCGTGAGACAGAAACTCGGGAGGCTGGAAATAACAAATTGTTTTTACAACAGTGAAAATGAGTACAGTGAAATTTTAGCTGCAGTTAATGGCCAGTCATTGATTTTCAGTTTGCTTAGAGAGTATGCCTTGCTTAACACGGTTTAAAGGTCTGTGCCACATTACGCTAGAAGTCTCAGAGAATGAGACTGGCTTAAGAGGCCCAGGCAGGTCCCGCCATGATTCTTCTGAGATATAGTATAACAGTTAAAGGTTTTTGTACTGATGTCTTTCCTGTGGCCAGCTTATTCTTGGAAAAGCACATGGCCTAAATATCCTTGCGCCATCCTGATTTCTGCCTGCTTTAAGATTCTTGGGGCTGTTTGCAACCTTTGTGAATTAGAGCAGCCTTTGTGAATTCGAATAACCTCGATGTTTGCTAAATTTAGCATGAGGTAAGTTCTGGCCCCACACCAAAGTAACCCAGGATTGTGACAGCTTCGAGTTCCTCCTCCACGATCTGAACTAACCTTCTCTTCTTCTTCAAATCAATAGGAATAGTGAAAAGCAGAGTGGAAAGTAAGGGGCCTGGGGTGTGGTTTCTTTTGGGTTTGATTTTTTTTATTATTAAAACTTAATTAACTTGTAGGTTTCTGTGGCAAATAAAGTTGCCAACCAGATTTAGAAAGGAGTTACCAAAAATCGCATGGTACAAGCAGCCAGAAACAGCTCCATTAATGGCGTGGTCATACGAAGAGGCCCCGAAGTCTTTTTTGGATGTGAATATCCACTGCTTTAAACAAGTTAACTCTACAGACCAAGCTATGATGACTTTAGACTTGTAGCTGTTCCCTTTTAATAGTAGTCTGGCTTGTAAAATCGCTTTCTACAGCTCCGCCAGGAAGGTAATCGGAGGGAGTTGCGAAGTAACGTATTCGTGCCTTGCTTTGTAGGCACGAAGGAGACCGCGTTCATATACGCAGTGACGTCGGCGGGCCTCGTGCATTCAGTGACGCGATCGTGCAGCGCAGGAAACATGACCGAGTGTTCCTGCGACATGAACCTGCGGCATGGCGGCTCGGCCAGCGAGGGCTGGCACTGGGGCGGCTGCTCTGACGACATCCACTATGGAATGTCGTTCAGCAGAAGGTTCCTGGATGTGCCCGTTAAGAACGTAACGGGCAAGAGCGGGAGCGGACTGGCGGCGATGAACCTGCACAACAACGAGGCTGGGAGGCAGGTATGTGTCACTGTTCCGAAATGGCAGCGACTGCTTGTTCGCCTTCGTTGACAAAAATGGCATCAACCAAACGAGGCCTGTCCTTGACTGCAGGTACAGATGGGGCCAACGGCAAGAACGGCACTAACGTCACCAAAGCAAACCTGTACAAACTAGGAATCAGAGCTGGTTTTAAACAACTAACTAAACTAACTAAACAGGTTAAAATAAAATCCACAAAATAAGAATTAGATCTGGAGTGCTAATCAGTTATCTTAAATAGGCATTTGATATTCTGTAGCAAACCCGAAATAGTCTTGTTATCAGCATAATACGTTAGGAGTTATTTCACTGATTATTCTGTTATTATCATGACCTGCATTTTTAATTCTCTCTAATACTGAATGAGCAGGCAGACTGGACACGAGGCATGGTTACCCATCCACAGTCTGGGGTCCGCGGCTGAGACCAGAAGTCTAAAATTGCTCAGAGAGGAAATAGAGAGTTAACGTTTTCTTTTAAAAAATGGGATGGAAACGACACCTCTATTTTAAAGTAGCCTGCTGGTTAGGGCACTCGTCAGAGAAGTGAGAGGAGACTGGCTTCGGGCAGCTCTTCTTCAGCGCAGAGGACTTCAAACCCACGGCTGCGGAGGAAATGTGGGTGTGTGACATTGGGTCCTCCTGTCCTGTTCTGCAGAGGGTGATAAATGGGGGCAGAAACAGAGAGCCAATACAGGGAGATGTGAGTCTGTAATGTAGTGCTTGGGGCTTACATCTGGAATGGCCGAGACCTGGATTCTGGTTCTTGCTTTAAAATTACTTTCTCTGCTTTACCTTGGAGTTTTTAACTTCCTAAGTGTTTAATGGCTCTCTCTGGCCCCGTAATGCTTTAAATCTGTTCTGCTCAGTGACAGAGCTATAACTAAAGAAAAGAAATGGACACCCTCTGGTTTTGAGTACACATATTGATGGACTCCATTGTAGCTCAGTAATTTCCTGTAGCCAGAAGCAGCACCAGTGGGTTTTACTGAAAACAACTTTCCTATCCGCCGTAGACTGGGAATAGCCATAGAGCCATGGTGGTATCATTGCAAACTATTTTAATTTAAACTAATTTTTACAGTTTACAAGGTAATATATGCTATTTAATTTAATTAAGTTATATAGTTGGAAAACCAGAAAATCTTTCAGGGACATAGGCCCTTTTCAGGACTGAAGTAGAAGCAGCAAACTTTAAACCTAAGTAGATGCTGAGAACAGTTACTGTGAGTTTAATTAGATGCCAGTCAGCTAAATCATCTCCACGGAAAGGTGGTTGGTATTGTGTAGTAGGGGACGTTAATAAGAGGAACAGAAGATTAAGTGATTATTTTCTTAGGGAAAGAGCAAAGGGTCATTTATCACCTTTGTAGAGAGAGATAGTTGAGGGAGAAGATCATAATCTCCATAAAATTATCTCTCAATTTCATGATTTTACATATACAGTACAGATAGGAAATTTTATTTTAATACTCATGTTTGTCATTTAGACAGTGCCATTTTCTCGGATTAGAGTGACAGTGGAAGTGTAGGGAAGAAGCCTGCAAGGCTCCAGAGGAAATTCAAAGAGAAAGAGAGATGCAATTTCTGTGTTTAGGCGGCAGCGACACAGGTCTTCTCTTTAGTACCCTGTTCTCTTGTCTGCCTTTAGCTTTATGTTAGCAGCAGCAGTAGTTTGCTGTCCTTTTGTCTTCAGTGACAGTGTTCGCTTATGATCTTCCCATACCATCCTTGTGCTCATCACTCATTCCTGCAGGCGTGCCAGCAGAACTGCCTGGGGTCCTGTGCTGTGAACTGTACCGAGGAACCATTCAGCTTCAAAACCCCCCCACACACAAACACAGACACACACACACATACACACACAGCGTAGAACAGCATCTTTTCTTTTGGTGTTGCTTTCTTTAAAGTTGGATCGGTTCCCTGATCTCATCTACAGCGGTCACACAGACAGTTGGGCCACCTATTGTCATGGGGACAGGACTGACTGGCAAAGGGAAAAGTATGTTCAGCTGAAGAGAACGTGTTTTCAAACAGTGAGCTAAAGCTACAAGGGGCTGGAGGAGGTGGTTAAGCGAGCCTTCATTTTCCATGAATAGTATTTTTGACACGATCCAAGTTATCTTAGATATGGGTTATACGCGTGAAAATATAATTGATTCTGAGTCCACATCTTCAATGTAGTGCAACTGCAGTATCTTCTATTACTATTTACGTTGAGTGGTACCTCTTACTATACATAATTTCATGAAACCAGAGTTTTAGACTAGGCCGTCAGTCTCCAGGAATGTGGTAGAATCTGGCCCAATAGGATCCATTAGGTCCTGAGGACCTTTCGGGGTTTCAGGCTTTTCACAATACTGAGCTCTCCAACAAGGCTCTCAAAGTACGCTGTCACAGGCTTATTTGGTGCACACGATACATACACTCATTCCTTTTCCAAACATGATGTTTTTTTAAAAAAACCCATCCGCTGCAAGCCTGAAAGGCCAGAAGATCCTTGTTTCACTGATTTTGTATCAATGGCGTATTTGTTGTTCGTTATCTTGGAAGAAAATATGCAGAGTATTTAGTCAGCCTCTGTGCCTGAATATTTTGTAACTTAATGGCAAACTGTAGGATAAAGCAAATATTTTGACCACTGTCCAGAGCAAAAGAGAATGTTTACTGTTGGTACTTGGGAATTCTAGCAGCAATATTAGTGGAAGTAAAGTTTAGTCGAACTCTCATTTCTGTAGTTTCAAAATCCTTAGCTAGGAGATGTTGGAAAATGTTGACCTTCATGTTTTGGGGCTTACAAGAAGGATGTTTTGCAATATATTTTGGTACCTTATGACCTTTTGTAATAAATACTGTCACGTTCCTGGTTCTGTGTCTTGCAAGAGCAGTCTTCCAGGGACAATACTTCTGTGTTTGTTTGGAGTTGCTAATGGAACTGGTATGTGCAGAATCCTCTTGTTCTGTTCCCATTTCCGTACAAAATGCTATTTTACATTTCTACATCTCGTAGTTAAATCCAAGATATATCAATTTTAAAACAGTAAGGATCCTTTGATTGAGTTGTCCACTGTTTAGGAGACTAACCTGAACCTCAGGAGATCCAGATTTCATTCCTTTTTCTGCCACAAGATAAATGTTCTTCATCTTTTAGCATTGTAATGTTCAGTGTGCTTAGATGTGCATATGTGAGTTGGGCACCTCTGCTCCTTATAGAAAAGGGTGAGGGCAGTCAGGTACTATGGGTTGACTTTTATTGTATTAGTATTTTTTTTACTGATAGAAGAATTCTGCTCAGTTTTCCACTTGTGGAAGTTTATTTGACTTGCGTTCTCACATTGAGATAGCTTGGCTCATCAGAGAGTTTATTTTTACTGATATTTGTGGGTTGGTAACAGACCCACCAACAGTCTGCAACTGTTCTTAAAAAGTGCTGTACCCCCGGTAGGACATGTGCTTGTCTTCATAAATAGTCCTATTAGTTCTACCAGTGGCTTAAATTAGGCTGTTTGATTACAGGTGTCGGTTCCCATTGCAAAACAAGTACTGGCAGCCCCTGTCTCACAGCTGAGAACAGTGCCTGCGGAGAGCTTCGCTTGGAGATATTAAGCATTAATTAGCATTAAAGGGTATACAAACTGTGATTCCACTGAAACTCTCCTTCGCTGCAGACCACTCTCTGCTTTCAGCCCATCCACCTCTTCTAGCCACACATTCCCACCCCACGCCGCTCCCTCTGTTAATTGCATTGGATCGGTGGAAGGAAGTCAGTTTAAAAATGACCTTTTTTTCAGGTTAATTTTTAACATAGACCAGCGTTCAGCATTGTATCCAGTTCATCACTTACTTAACCCTGCACTCTTGTTGCGCTAGTACCACCGGGGCAATAGGGGCAAGAGGAGCCGCTCGGGTGGGCTTGTGGCCAAACAAAACACTCGTGGATCCAGCTCAGTTCCACACCGATCGTTTCTCAGAAGCAGTCAGTCGGTTTCATGACCAGCCTAAGAAAACTGAAAACCTGTCCCAGCTTGCACAGAAGGACATGTCTACCCACCATGTTTCTGTGAGTAACAGTGCTCCTCTGAAGTTCTCTATGAAATTTTGTTCCTTAGGAAGAATCCTCTCACAATTTCAGGAATAACTGGAAAGATTCACCATGTGAATTGAACGGTGTGAAACCGAGCACTGGTTGTGGAGTCAGTCTGGAAGTCACGCTCCCAGTAACTCTGTGCATCCCAGTAGCTCTGCTGAGATGCAGGCGTACGTTGCAGCCACGTCCCACCAGAAGGCTGCGTTGGCTCTATAAGCACCATCTTAGGTTTGCTTGCAAGAAAACAGCAAGAGAAGATACCTAGTCCCTAAATTTTGCCAGATGTTCAACTATGGGAGTTTGTTCATTGAAGTTCACGTGGCAGCCTGAGATCCAGCGGCATGTTTTGTGATCAGGCAAAGCAAGATGTCAGCTCCCTGTGCTGGCAGTAGAGGCAACCCAGAAAACTTGCCCATCCTAGCAGCTGGGAAGCAATAGCCTGGGGTCATGCACAAATGTGATGAGACCATAAGTCATTCTAAAACAGAGTGCATCAAAGCTTCATGTGACAATCCTGAGCAACACAGAATAAAACCACATATGTTTGTAACTGCTGCGGATGTTCTCGGTGTTTCCACACTCAAACACATTTGTAGTTCTTGCATTCACCTGATCGTACATACCCTGCTAATACATGCTGGATTTTTATATTTTGATATCAGCCTGAGACTCCAACACGTTTCTGCTCCTGTTTAGAAACTCTGTCTCCTTTCAGTTTTCATTAATTCATCCTCAGAGAAAAACTCCGAGTGTCATCTGCTGGGCTACTTGCCCACATGGAAGTAACTCACCCCTAGCACCTAGCAGACATGTCCAGTGCTTCCTCTGACAATTTCTGGATCCTTCTGCCTCATCCAGATTTTACTATGCCTGATTCTATCAGACTGGGAAGTACATTTCTTTCCCCAAGCCAAATTGTTTATTTTCCCTCTGTTGTTTCTTCCCTAGTTAGTACCCTGTCATACTGCAGTGAAAGTGAGGATTGCATCTATAACCATACAAATCTTACAGCACAATGTGATTTCATACTACTTTGAGATTCTAGTTACTTGCCTTGATGCAAATAACTAATAATTAGAAATTGGAAAATACTATTACATCCCTTCTGTTTGTAAATTGTGTGTAAAATTTATCTTTTGATATCGTGTTTCTCTTTTCCTTGACATTTTATTAGGTGATCTGTATTCTAACAAAGACTTTCTGTCTTTGGATCTCAAATTCTCATCTGCCTCAATCACTGTTACATCTTAATGATGCATATTCTGACTACTCAGTGATTTCCTTATTGATAGATTCTTGAGATACAAGGTCAAGTCTGTCTATTAAACAGAAGCTAGCCTGTGAAGGAGAGAAGTTAAGTATCTACAAGAATTACTGCCGGTTGATTTGCCACTGAAAGAGTCTGTGTGTGCTCTGGGGTGAGGGTCTGCTTATTGCAATGTTCTTATTTCTTCCAGCATAGGGACAAATCTCCAATCCCAAAAGCAATCCACAGCATCTGGAAATATCTCCTGTACTGGTTTGTAGAGTTACACGCAAATACCAACTCAGGCTTGTGTCAATATCTTTGGGGCAGAACGTGCCAGGAGGCCTCAACTCCCACTGAAATCAATGGATTTACCCACATTGGACTCATCCCAAACTTCAGTGACCATATTCACCATGATGAAAAGTCCTAGTTTAACACACAGGGTAGAACTAGCTCACTTTATCTGCTCTGTGCCTTGACTAACTCTGAAACTGTGAGGATGGCGTTTGTGCTGCCTGAGCTGCAAATAAGCAGTCTGGGACTTGAGTTTGTTTCTGGTCCTGCACAGGGTCAGTAGGGCCCGGTAGGATTTCAGGGCTCAGATCTCACTGCAAAATCAAGGCTTAGGAACAGGCACAAATGAAACTACTTTCTCAGGGGAAACCAGAGGAGGGTGTTAGCTAGATTTGTCTTCTGTTTTTTTCTTCGCTAAGACAGTTTGAGAAAGATACAGATTGACAGCAGTTAATATTTGTGGGAGCTGTGGGGTAAGTGAAGGTTTAGGGTGAAATTTAATAAACATCATGAGGCTGGGAGGAGGGTTTGTCTTCCCCATTGTGTGGGAACTAGTGGTTCCTCCACAGAGGAATAATTTGAATCTGTATTTGCCTTGCTGCATGAGAAGTTTCAAGAGAAACTTACTATGAGTTAATTTAAAATTTACACTTTCTGTTACATTTCCCAATTGCCTTGATTGTGGAAATTAAATATGGGGGGAAAGGTTAGTAAAATGCAAGATGGTAACATGGGCTTTCCACGCCATTAACCAATGACCTGTAGGAGTCTACAGGATGGCTCCAGAAAGTCCATTAATGGAAAGGTAAAACAAAACAAAAAGTATGATACCTTGTCTTTTTGCTGTATCTGTGCATGGGATGATTTTTCTGCACACTTTTCCAAACTCTAATGTGAGATGTGTCACAAGTCTAATTGTATAATTTTATACTATGACTATTAGATATTCCAGCAGGAAGTATTATATTGATTGTCTGCTGACTATTTGAGTTGTAGTCCCAGATAAAGTTACTGCTTGTTTACAGATTCCAGTTCTTCGAGGCTTAGTCTCCTGTAAACTGAGCCAAAATTCATGTGTGTTGCAAAAGCTTAATGCAGGCTGCAGATTCCCATTGTTGCTCAGTTATTGTTCAGCCCAGTGCTCGCCTCAGCATGGGCATGGAAAAGTAGCCCATCTAAGGGTGTTTTAATGTTCGTAATAACTGTGGAAATTTTGTGAAAACATCAAAAGCTATAAAAGTAATATGAATGCAGCTATCAAATTGTGTTAGATATAGAGCCATTATGCAACTGGAAACGCTAGAAACCCATGATAGTACAAGTAAGCCTAAAGTAGAAGAACAGGGCTTGATCCTGTAAGTGAGAAGCACCTGAGATTTACTCCGGAGTACCTGAGTTGACGATACCTCTGCTGAGCTGAGTGGCTCCTTTGATAGACTGTCCGTGGAGCTCAGAGACGTGGGCATCCTTCTGCTCTTCCAGCACAGATCTGCCCCGAGGTGCCTCCGGGCTGCGCTGCTTCGGGTGCTGAGCCACGCTGGTCGCACAGACACTGCTGTGCGGCCTCAAGCCATTCCCGTGGCCTTAGTTACAGACTGCGCTGGGAATGTTTAGTGATCTTGATGGTAGCCGCAAGGCACCCTTAAAAGGTGGCATAGACCTGCCCAGTAAATGTATTCCAATGCAGGAGCGGTGCCTTTACCTACCCTATCCCTGCTTCCCCTCCTGCTATTCCCCGCAAGGGCTGTTTGCATTCCAGTGGTGGAAGGAGAGACGCAAGATGTGTCACTTCAGGTATTTAGGATCCTCTAGAGTGAAAAGCCAGTCAGAAATACAAGCTTTTGTTATTGCGGTTCGATATTGCTATGTTATCGCCATTGCAAAGTGCAAACGCAGAGCCACTCTGAAGATCAGGCTTCTCATAGTGGGGGTCCGGAGTTGGAAACCTGATTCCTAACACGTATCCTCCTGCACTCTGGCTTCCCCATCACTGAAATGGCACCAATGGCAGCTGTAATATTAAATACTTCGAGACCTCTGTGTAACTGATGTCAGGCAGTATTCCTAATGAACGAAAGACCACGTCCAAATGTCATTCTCTCTTTGCTTTCAGGCTGTAGCAAAGCTGATGTCAGTGGATTGCCGTTGTCACGGTGTTTCTGGGTCCTGTGCTGTGAAAACTTGCTGGAAAACAATGTCCTCCTTTGAAAAGATTGGCCGGTTTCTAAAAGATAAGTATGAAAATAGCATACAAATATCAGACAGACCGAAAAAAAAGCTACGCAGGAAAGAAAAAAGCCAGCGAAAAATACCAATCAGGAAAGAAGACCTGCTGTATATGAACAAATCGCCCAATTACTGTGTCGAAGACCAAAAATTGGGGATCCCTGGGACTCAGGGAAGGGAATGTAACCGCACCTCGGACGGACCCGACGGCTGCAACCTGCTCTGCTGTGGGCGCGGGTACAACACCCACGTTGTCAGGCACGTGGAAAGGTGCGAATGCAAGTTTGTCTGGTGCTGCTACGTGCGCTGCCGGAGGTGCGAGACCATGACCGACGTACACACCTGCAAATAAGGTGAAGTACAGAAAACAACAGCCAAACCGCCCTGCGCTGTTTGGTATACACAACTGCCGCGCAGGCGGCAATTACTCTTGTCATGTGGGATTGCAGGGGGATCAGCCTCAGGGGAAGGGGTATTGCCAGACACCGGGTAGTCCAAGCATTTGGCGAATGAAAGAGCAACCGAACGAATAGCAGCCTGCACACGGGGACAGCTAAAACAGCAAAAAAGGACTCCTGAGGACACATTTGAACATGTGACTCTATGAGCAGGGACAGACACTAAACTTTCCCAGTCTTTAATAGCCACAACGTCCTGACGATCCACGTGGTCAGTAGGTACAGTGGAGAAAACTCAAGATCTCGTTAGCCAGAGACTGAATGGACTAGATGGATCCGCTAGGTGGTTCATTTCTGCAGGCTTTAGGAAAAAAACCAAAGATAAGGGAAACGTTCTGCTGTTGACCATGAAGCATTTGCTTTGCAACCGTTCAGAAAGCTGTCTTCTGCATAATATGCAGAAAAGCATCTGGTGCTGAGAAACCGGCGTGACCGCAGAGAGCTGGGCACTGCCTGGGTGGAAGGGGAAGGTCCGTTGGTGTGGAGCAAGCGGTGTCCAGAGTAGAGGGGCTGGAGGGCAGCTTGATGGACACGAACGGTCTACCAAATAGCAACCTCGGGTTTTTTTATAGGTTGTCTTTCAGATGCAGAAAGGACAGGTCTGAGGTGGGACAGAAATACAGTTTGGTATTTGAAGGAAATGAAATCCTTCACAGACATTTCCTCAGTATCTGAACACACAATTTGCGAGTCAGCCGGTCATCACCCCACTGTTGGACTGTATGCAATAACATGCCACGTTCAACCATCTCGCTGGTGGTTCACCATCATTTTCACAATTAACCATACGAGATACAGCCCAAAGAAATGTGTCGTAAAGTGAAAGGTTTTTTTAAAACATTGTTTTCTCCTACAGAAGCAGCAGCTAGAACTTTTCATTAGGTTGCATCCTAAGTAAGTTCAATGCACAATGTCATTTATGGATTGGCTTACACCACTAAAATATTTAAACTGTTATTGATAACATTTTCTCCCCTTCCATATGTTGGCTTAATTTTATTTTACATCTGTGAAAGTTTGTTTATTCTTTTGCAATGATTTAATGCCTGGCTTAAAAAGCATCATGTGAAAGGATTTCTGTTGTTTAAATGTGCAAAGACCTATTTTTGATAAGACAAGAAAGTTTATATTTTGTAAATATTTAAATTATGCAAGTTATGTAAAAGGTTTCCAAAACTAATGTGATAAGATTACATACAGCCTTTGACATCTGTTGGTTAGATATTTGTTACTATTGTAGTAGCCTTTAATAGATCTTTATTTGCATGTGCAGGGGAAAATTAGTCAGAGAATTACATAAATGTTCTTTTTATTACCATCAGGGTGGTTATAATTATTGCAGTTAATACACACTGATGAGAAACACTATGATTTTCTAAATGATCGGTTAATTAATATTCTGTATACTTTTAAAATTCTTTAAATCCATTTTACAAACAGTGAAATCCCAGCTCCAGCGGTAAGTGCAGAACTCCCAGTGACATCAAGGGCACTTGCAAAGGTTCACAATCCCTTAAATTGTTCCACACCGACAGTCAGTTTTTAGAAAGAAATCTTCTTAGACGGTTTGGTTGACGGTTTCAAAGTTACTTTGAGGAATTCATTTCCTAGTTGTCAATTATTTTCCCATGAAAGATGGTGACCAGATTCCCTGTCACTCTTTATAGGAGATGTGGTTCAGGAAGAAGCAAACACAATCTTCTGTGTTGTAGTACTTCACTGCCTTATGTGGAGTGTCTTAGGAACATCAGTTCAGCAACTCAGCCAGTCCTTTATCTGCTGGTTCTTTTTGGACCTTGCCTCCACATTTGGCCAGTCTGTCTCCATTGACCTAGCCAGATAATTACCCTGAGGCCACAAAATCTGCTATCTATGGAAAGGCTGCTCAGCAAGCCAGTCGCTGTCACAGGAGGATTCAACGCCCTCCCTGAGAAAACTTGGATGGGGAGGATACATCCTGATGGAAGACCCTGAAGAGAGAGTTGTGAGCCCCAGGTTGTTCCCATCTTCCAGCAACAAAAGTAAACCCACGGGCTCCATAAGGTGTGCCGCAGCACCTATTGGCAGCACGGATGGGGCGTGCTACTGGTCACTGTTGATATGACGGTGTTGGAGAGACCACCTCTCTCTCTGAATCTGCTCTCTGTCAAGCTGCTGGCAGAGGTAAGTGCCTCGGTACCCTCCGTGAGACTGCTTTTAGCAGTGCCTCCACTGAGGTCAGTGCTGAGGTCACCACCGTTTGGTTGCGTGGGGCTCCAGCAGGAACCAGCCTCTGGGAGGTCAGTGTGGAGACCAAGATCTTCTCTTGAAGCAGCCCCGATCTGCGTCTCAAAACTACCTTAGCTTTTACTGGACCTAAAGGTTCTTCCATACTTGATCTGTAAAGTAAGGAAAATTGCCAATGTACTTCTTGGTACGCCTTAACTTCTGGCAGGGGAGAAAATGGGGAGAAAATGGTCCTGGGCTCCTGGGCCTAAGGTCAGCGTCAGGGATTTGCCCAGGAGAAAAATCTCAGTAGGCTGCTTCTGTGGGTTTGAAGGGGAAGAGCACTCACCTCAGCATTGCATAGAGACGTGGGGCAGTCATGATGCAGCCAGTGCAGTCAGGGTGTCTCTTGCTGCTTGGCTAGCCAGTATTTGACACTGTGTTATTTTTGAGAAGACATCTACTTCCCAAAAAAATATCTTTTTGTTCTTAAATGTTGTTAATAAAAGACTTTTTTCCTGGTCTTGTGGGGGGGAGAGTTTATTTTTTCAAAGAATGACAGAAGACAATGAAGAGAAGTGGCAACACACACGGTCTATGAAAGCTGCAATGGCTGAGCAAACAAGGTAACGGGTTTGAAGCTTCACTGGCAGCAGCAGGACTCAGCTGGCCTCTGAGAAGCTGAAGAGAGCTATTTCATGGGAGGTGGCATTACCCTTTCTGCACCAGGGGCAGAGCGCTGGTGAAAGCAATGCGGGCTGAGGGGCTGCTGCTCGCTCTCCTGCTGCACCAACGTCGGGGGCTTGGGGGGGGAGGCAGAAGCAAAGCTGAGTGCGCTGGGGAGAGCACGAGCCCCTCTCTTTACCTACCACAGCTGAAACTGCTGTTTAATTTAAGCTCCATCGTAACTTACCTAAGTTACATCTGTAAAACTAGTTCTGGATGGGCAGCATCTGTAAAAGCAATTCTGGATGGGATCAGGATATGAACATTGTTTTGTAGTAGCATCAGGGCGAAAGAAATTAGCTGACACCTATTGCAGTATTTATTCCACAAAACTGCCTTTACTCCTTCCACAGTCCGGAAAAGCTCTCCTCGGGTGAGAGCGAGAGGGAGAACCATCTGTAGGACAGCATGCCTCTGCTTTCAAAGAGGAGCCACAATACGACATATGTGGTTCAGCTACTTTTGTGGGCATATGGCACCAGGATGAATTTCATTCATTCACTCAGTTTCATAGGGTGGGGGTTTTTGTCCCAGTGCTGGGACTGGAGGATCAAGGTTGTTGACTTTGAAAACAGCCTTATAATACTCTTGTATAGCTTTGCAATAATACATCCTTTCTGTCTGAAAGTAGCTACGTGTGTGCTTATCGGAGCAAGCGAGATTAGAAAAAAAATTGGAAAGAAATTCATAGTCTTGAGTGGGGGAAAGGTCTTATCTCAGTCCTGTTCCCTCACACTGCCCTTTTATGCATGGAGCAGCAGTTTGTGAAAAGTAGCAAAGCTATGAAAAATGCCACAAGTTTACTTTTGAAGAAAGGATAATTGTAACCTCTTCTGAAAGTGAAAATGATATATGCTGTTTTGAAAACAGAAATGCATGTGCACTGGCTGCATATTTTAAGAGCAAAGCTGTGGTGTTGACTGAAGTGCTGACGTACTCAGAGGAGTTCCTGCAGGAACACTGCTGGTCAGTCTGTCGACGTGCCAGCCTGTGCATGCATCGGCACCTGAAGAACACCGTCTTGTCCTTGCCTGTTGGAGATCCCTTGTCAAAGGATGTGTAGTAAATGGAGATCATCTCCATGGCTATCAAAATGTCTCTGTGCTGGGCAGCAGTTTTCAGTGAATGATAAGATGTGAAATGCATGCGTAACATAAGCAGCAACAATTAGCATTGTCATTCAGAGGAAATGATGTTAAAAGGACGTCCACTTTGTCTGAGGTTTCTGATGGAGCTGAGATGCTTGATTTCATTAAAGGATGAGGTTTCACAAGAGGGCAAACTTGACTTTAGGGCGGCTCATCATAGATCCAAACTGTCATGGCTAGGTCATGATAGTGCTGAATCCATACCAACTGACTCTGCTGGCTAAAATTTAATAAAAACATGTAAAAGGATCATCCCACTGTGGCAGACTTCATGCCAAATGAGGCACTGCTTGTCTGAGCCCTCTAACTTAGGGTAGCTATCACACAGAGTAGAATATCAGGAAGTATCAGAGCGGAATAAATGTTATTATCTGTTCTAGATAACCTGCCAAAAATGCTAACTGTGAATCCTCTCCTGACTGTGTCCTGCCAGGTGATCTGGAGTCCCCAGATCTAGTGGTAGTAGTAATGGTGAATGTGGTATCATGACTTTAATTTTCGTTTCACATAAGGATTTGCAATAACAATTTTTAGGATTTTTAAACACTTTCACAATTTTTACTGTTAGGCAGCATGGGCAGACAATAGCTAACAATAACTAACTGAGAAACAGGCCTTCACACCCATACGTCTAATGAACATCACTAAGGAGGGGGGTAGTAGTATTCTGACTATAAATGGGAAACTGGGGAGAAATGACTTGCTTAACATCACTTACAAAAGCAGTGGGAGACCTAGGTTTAAAAAAAAAAAAGAATAGGCAGGTCTGATCATCAACCTAATGCTTTGGCTACTTGGTCACTGCATTTGTTTCT